TGCTTGTCTTAGAATGTATTTTTAGGGTGTGTGGAGTTCCACCAAGTCTCCACATCCTGCATGATTTTGTGCTGGGGGATGTTCAGCTCTGCTTGTTTGTCCCACAGCATCTTGCCCCACTTGATGCTCCTGTGGAAGTAGCCTGCCACCTTCCTGCATTTGGAAATGAGCTTGCTGGTGGTGCTAGTGCCATCACTGGCAACCCTATCTGTCTCCAAGGTGTCCCTGACAATGAGGTAGAACTTGTGTGCCACACAGTGGATGCCAACAAAGTTGGCATCACAAACTGCCTTGACCATATTGGCCCCATTGTCGGTGACCATGAACACGCGAGCAAACTCTCCCAACCTAACAAGTCACCCCTGTACCAAGTGGTTTGTGGCCCCCATGATCTTGGTTGCTGTGTGGGACCATCCATCACCTCGGCTTGAAGGAGAGCCCACCAATGGTCTGACTGGTCTCACCAGTGCCCTTTGAGGGAGAGGTAGGCATGATCTCCACCCTGGCTGTTCCAGATGTCCAAGGTGAACTATAGAGCCACCTGCAGACCTTCCTTGTGCAGCTCCTCCCTCAAGTACTCCCTGCATGCCTCATACAGGGAGGGCACCACCACCCTGCTGAAGGTGGTGTGTGCAGGCACTTGGTAGGATGGGGCTACCAGTGCCATAAGCTGCCTGAACCCTGCCACTCAACGAAGGAGAAGAGCTGGCCATTGACATCAAGCATCTCCCCAATGCTCTGAGTGATCTCGCTCACCCTTGTAATGCACCCCGCTTTCTGTCCGCCTTTCCCCCACTGTTCCAGGGTGGCCTGACTCTGCTTTGGGGGAGATAAAGGCTTTGGAGTGAGAGGGGGACTTCCCTTTTGGGCATGCTCCTGCTGGTGCCAGGCTGACAAGGAGCAAGGGCAAGAGGGTGGTGCCTGCGGAGATGCATTAGAATCCCCGTGCTGCTCATGTGTCTTGTTTCCTTGCCCTGGCTGATTTTGGCTTGGCAGCTCAGGGAGATAGCATATGTACGATCATCTGCCAACCCAAAATGATCCCAGATCACACTACCCACTCACTTCTGGGGTGTGGGTGCATGTTTGGATGCTGCAATTTCCCTCTCCTTAGCAGACAGACACACAGCAACAGGAGGAGCAGACTCAGCTGAGCCATTTGTCCCCACAACCTCTACCTCAGCCTCCTCTGAAGTGCCTTCTGGAGCCTTCTGAGCACAAACTCAGCTGATTCCCACTGCTGCCCCAGAATTTCCCTTGCTAGGGCACTCAGATCCAGTTCCACCTCTTCCTCTGGCACTGGAAAGGTCAGCATTGGAAGTGAAATGGGAGTGGAGGAGAATGTCATGCTGGTGCTGGTGCTGCTGCTGCTGCTTGTTGTCATGGTGGTGACATTGGGGGTTAGGGCTGGTGCTCTTGGAGGGGGTACAGTCTCAGGCACAGGCACAGGCAGTGGCACTGGCACTGCTCCCTTCTGCTTGCTGCTTGCGGGAGCCTCATCCCTGCTAGTTGTAGGAAGGAGTCTGTGTCTCAGTTTGGGGTGGGGGAAACTTACACCTCTCCTTCTACCCCCTCTTCTGCCTTCCCTGAAGGCTTGCCAGCTGCCTTTCCACCACGCTTTATAGTGTGTTTCATTGTGTATTTCTTTTATACAAATATATAAATATATCTGAGTTCCTATATAAATTCTCTAAGGTGTGTAGTCTATGCCGCAAGGTAGAAATGTGTCTGCGTTCCTATGTAAATTCTGTAAGGTGTGTAATCTATGCCACAAGGTATAAATATATCTCCCTTCCTATATAAATTCTATAAGGTATATAGTATATGCTGCAAGGTATAAATGTATAGAAATAAAATATAAATGTATCTCCCTTCTAATCTAAATTAAATTCTGTAGTGTAATATCCAATATAATTATAAAATTGAAAAGAGTAAATCAATGAATATAATAATAAAATTAAAAGGTCGAGAAGAAAGCAAGAGATATTGTGGAATCCCACTTGCTAGGCTAGGCTAGCAAGTACGAAATCTTTCAAATCAGTGCTAGTAGTAGCCTTCATTGTCTAATGCTCCTGAGCTGCTAGAAGACACAGCTCAGTACCTGTAAGACCCCAAGGGAGAAAGCAGGCCAGTTCAAACAATGCTGCCTTTTATGCAGTTTTTCCATCCCTCCCCCAGAGCACTGGGATTGGAAGGGACCTCAGGGAAGGATCACAGTCACTGGCCAGCTACACAATCAATATGAGAACAGTCCTTCCCCACTCTTAGCCCTCCCTCTCATTACTTTCTGTTTCCCTGCAGGCAAGCCCAGCTTGAGCTTTGAAACTTGAAATATTTTGAAACTTTCGAAACATTTCGACTGCCATCATTTCATTTTGATTTCAATGTTTCAAGCTCAAAACAAGTTGAAATGAAACAACCAGCAAAATTTCACACAGCCATAGAAACAAGTTTGATTTTTACAGGAAAAGAAATTAGAGGTGGTGTCTGCATTTAAATACCTTAGAATCTATATGTAAAGCATTCTGAGCTCAAATAAACATATTGAAGAGGTAAGCACTAGAACAAAACAAGTCTTGGGTAGAGTTTTATCCTTTTACAATAAGATGGGCAAAATAGCAGTCCTGGCAACAGTGAAGAGCTATACGTCTAAGGTAGAGTGCATTTTATTCTATGAAGCCAAAGCCTGGGATGCTCACCCCATGGTTTACTCAAAAATAGAAAAGATCTTTAATTACTTTTTAAGTCAGCTTTTATCTCTACATAATTCTGTGGGGGGGGGGGAGGGTGCTCATGCATTGTTAAACAAAATACATCAATATGAGCACTTTAGTTTAATTAAGAATTCTAAATTATTGGATCAAAATTACATTTTTTATGCCTACCTGATACCCCAAGAAGTGGATTTTCAAAGCCTTTTATTTTCCAAATGAATCCTTGTTTGTATGGTTAAATATCATCTGTATTCTTCTCCAGAAAAATAGGCTGAGAAATATACTGGACCAGTATTTCCTTTATGTATAAATTAAATTTTTTAAAAGGCCAGCATTCAGACAGATATGTAGGCAGTGAGACTTTCTCAAATTTCCCCTCTTTTGAGATTAATAAAGCACTCATTCGGCCAAGAAGCCTGCCTGTCTGCAGTACAAAACTACAAACAGTAAGTACATTCTTATGAGGTCTGCAGTTGTTAGGGACAGGTGGCATCAGACCCCACATTTAGACAGAATTTTGTGTGAAAAAATTAAATAGATCATTTAAATCACTACTTGTGGTCTTGTTTGCTTTTACAAAAATAAGGGGGAAATGGATCTCTCCATTGGTGAAAAATTTAAATACTGAGCTACTGAAGAAAAAGCAGTTTGTCTTCTCTCTAAGAACTCAGAGCCTGTCCTATATTCCATTAAGTATATTTGCATTTCTTTCGCAAAGAACATGGCCAAAATCAAATAGAATTCCCCTGTTTTACTTTATTGTCCTTTGCTTCTTTTTATCATCATATAGGTTTTATTTTTTATTGTCATAGTCTGTTTTAAATTTGTATAAACTTTTATATAGTGAATAACTTTATTAACTGTTTTTAGCAAAACTGTAAGTTGCATAAATGTTATTTATACGTTATATATAATCACATTAATTTTATTTTATTTTTTAGTGAACACTGTAAATAAACTATTACCACTACTGAGTATGAGTCTTCTGTAAAAGGTGTTGAAATGGAGCTGCCTCCAGAAGAAAGCACTTGTTGATTAATGGTTGGAGGATATACTGGTCAGCTGAGGAAAAAAGAGAATTTGCCCAAAATCTTTATTTGCTTTGCCTTTGACACTGACAGTAATTGTTTTACACACAGTTTTTGTCTTTGCTATCTATACAGAGGGGGAGGGGTTGAGCCTTTCAGTAGCAAGAGGGGAGGAAAAGACATTGTTTTTGAAAAGGGAAAACATAAGAGATGTAAAAACTACATAAATTGGCAGTGAGAATTAGGAATAAGTCAAGTACCTAAAACTAATTTTAGTTCATTTTAACAAACTGACTACAATTCAAAATGTCTGTCTCTCTTAAGTGTATTTAATTATTTTGTAAATTGCATTTTATTGCATGATATATGATTAAGATATGTTTAAATTACTATACAATACAATGCCTGAGTTTGAATGATGTAAAAAATACAAAACCTTTATTTAAGGTATAAAAAAACAAAAAACAAAATCCACAACCAACAAAAACAAGAAAAAATAATTTGTGAATGTAACAAAGAAAACCACTGAAATATAAATAATTATGATAAATGAAACAAAGATAATTCAGATGCATCAAATTGAAAGATGGAAATGGAAAATGGGATCCAAAGTTTAACATATAGGCAAAGGATTATTATTCTTTATGTATATGAATGCAGCCGGACTAGACTTATTCTGGGATGAGCTAAATCAGATCCATTCTTCTTTTCTGTTTGGTGGAGGGCAGCTGAAAGTCGACAAAGTATTTCAGACCTTGAGCAGAAGCTGCAAAATACTTCTTTCTGTACTTCCCTTTGACTCACCATGAAAGGCAGAAAGGGAATATGGATCATTGTTCTGTCCTTTCCTTTCCCACTGGCTCTTTGGAAAGAGCACACTGTGTGTTCATGTGCTCCACTTTAAATTTGATTCTGGGCCCAAGATTCAGGAATCACTGACATGGTTTTTCAAGGTAGGGAAGGGCCCTTATGCATTTGCACTAAGGAAAGTTAAAATGTAGACCATATTTAACTGAGTATTCTGAGTAATTAATATTATCTATGAAATATGCTTCACTGAAGAAAAATTATTTTTCTCATCAGTTTCCTTAAACATCTAATGAATTTTTCTAGATAAACCAAAAGTCATGTAGAACTTGGAAAGCCCTGATATCTTCCTGGCCTTGTAGTAACACGTTTGCTTAACATGTGCCACATTCTTAACTGTGAACTAATTATATACTGCTTTTAACACAAAATTTTCATTATTTTTTCACAGTCTCAGTCTGAACTCAGGGTCTTCCATATTCGTGGAGAGCATGCTTTATCAACTGCAAAGCTTGAGGAAGCCATTGAAAATCTCAAGAATGAACTGGAAAATAAATTAAATAAAGGAAGTGAGAAAGCAAAGGATGTCTGTGTATCTACTGAAGATGAGAACCCACCAAAGACTTACAGAAATGTTTGTATACAGACTGACAGAGAAACCTTCATAAAGTCTAGTGAAGAGGAAAACAGAATTGTGAAGAATAACCAAATAGTACCTAAAAAACTTAATTTATCTTCTTTAAATCATAATATTTCAGCCCAAAGTGACAATAAGGAAGCATGTTATCCTATGACATCTCCAGAAAGTGTTTTATCTTGTCAACCAAAACAAACATTGCCGCTACCACCACCACCTCCACCACTTCCCCCTCCTCCTGAATCTCCAGTACCAAGTTTAATCCCTCCACCACCTCCATTGCCACCAAGCTTGAGAACCTTTCCATTGATATCCCAGTATGGATCTGACCCACCACCACCTCCTCTACTTCCCTCAGGTTATGAGAATCTTCAAAGACTGCCACCACCACCACCACCACTACCACTGCCAGGATTTGGGCCTCCTGGTCCACCTCCATTGCCTGGCTGTGGACCACCTCCTCCACCACCACCTCTTGGAACTGGGTGGATTTTTAATAGCACTTTATCTTCAAGCCAGGGTCCTCGAAAGCCTACCATTGAACCTAGCTGTCCTATGAAGCCTTTGTACTGGACCAGGATACAGATACAAAACAGAAGGTAAAGGTATTTTCTTTAGACTTAAAGATACAATTTAGACACTGGGATGTTGAGCCATAGAAAATAGAAAAGTAAAATTAGAGAGAGAGAAAATAGACCCAGGTTTAAACATCACAAAAGTAGATCATTAGCAATCATTTCAAAATAAAAAGTATAGATAAAATTTTAATAGATATGAGGTAGAAGAAAATAGAATATGAATTGATTAGGCCTAATAATAACTTTAAACTAGTAAATAAACAGAGTATAGTAAAAGGCAGGGGAGGTGTATCTAACATCTAACAAGAGTTTGCTTGTTTATGTACTGATACTTCCAACTAGAGATGATCAAAAATTTTCCAAAGAAACAGATTTTACTTGGAAAATGTTGATTGCTCACAAATGAAATGTTCCATTGAAGCATATCTCCATGTCTCTCTTGATGAAACTTCAATGAACAGTTTAAGCAGGAGTCTCAGTTATAGGAAGGAGCTGGAGCTGGGGAACTCAAGGTAAAAACTTGAAATGACAGAATTTTCTGTAGATCAGGAATTCTGCTTACAGTCATTTCTTCTTATCATTTTTGTCACTTTAGATTGTGTGTTCTTCAGATCAGAGTATGGCCCTGATTCTGGAACTAGACACACCTGTGCTTAATGTTACTTTTTCCTGGCATGGCAAGAGATGTGATTTTTGGGACCTGTGATACAATGCATCAGGTCTCATTACACCACTAAATTAACATCTGCCAGTGGCCTTTGTCTATACAGCAACGTACCAGAAACAAACCTCGGTCCTAAATGGTAACATTTATATTCAAATGTATATCTATTTGCTATAGATAAATAGATTATATACAAATGCATCATGGTATGTCTTTATTATTTGCAGTATATGTATCTTTTTAATAAGCCAAATGTTATGAGAAGATGCACATTTTTTCTGCTTATTCATGGCCTTACTGCAGCTTGCAGTCAGAAGCCAGAGAGAATTTTCTCAAAAATCTGCAAATGCTGTCTGACAGTTCTTATGCTTATTAGCGTAACTTAAAGCAGGACCATCCCAACTATCATTCCAGCCAAGGCTTTGTCTACCCAGGTCTCAAAACCATCTCAGGACGGAGATTCCACAACCTCTCTGGGCAGTCTGTCCAGTGTTTACTGCCCCCCTTGTGACAGAGTTTTTCCTAATATCTAACCTAAACTTCCCTTGCTGCAAATTAAGACCATTGCTCCTTGTTCTGTTATCTGCCACTGCTAAAAACAGTCCTGCTCCATGATCTTTGCAACCACCCTTCAGGTAGTTGAAGGCTATTATTAAATCCTCCCTTAGTCTTCTCTTCTCCAGACTAAGTAAAACTAGTTTCCTCAGCCTCTCATAAGGTATGTTCTCCAGCCCCCTAACCATTTCTATTGCCTTCCACTGAGCTTTCCAATTTCTCCACATCCTTTCTGTACTGGGGGCCCAAAACTGGACACAGTACTCCTGATGTGGCCTCACCAATGCTGAATAGAGGGGAAGAATCACTTTCTCTTTCCTACTAATGCAGCTCAGTAGGCTGTTAGCCTTCTCTGCAGCAAGAGCACACTGTTGGCTCATAGTCAGCATATTGTCCTCTGTAACCCCCAGGTCCTTTTCTGCAGATCTGCTACTTAGCCAGTTGGTCGCCAGCCTGCAGTGGTGCATGGGATTCTTCCATCCTAAGTGCAGGCTTTGCACTTCCCCTTATGGAACTTCATGAGATTTCTTTTGGTCCAATTATCCAATTTGTTCAGGTCTCTCTAGATCAGAGCTTTCCAAACTTTTCATGTTGGTGACACACTTTTTAGACATGCATCATTTCGCGACACAGTAATTCAGTTCCGGGGGAGGGGCCAAGGGAAGCAGACACGAGTAAGGGAGCTCCGTGGTGCCCTTCCGCAAAATTTTCTGCATTTCGCGTGACACACCTACACACTGCCGCCAAAACACTAATGTGTCACGGCACACAGTTTGGAAAGCTCTGCTCTAGATCCTAGACCTACCCTCCAGTGTATCTACTAATCCCCCCATCTTGGTGCCATCCACAGACTTCCTGAGGGTGCACTCCATTCCATCTTCCAGAACATTGATGAAGATATTGAACAAAGCCTGCCTCAGGACTGACCCCTGAGGTGCACTCCACTTGATCTCTGCCAACTGGACATCAAGCCGTTGAGTCTGATGACCCAGCCAGTTTTTTGTCCACCTTACAGTCCATTCCTCCAAAACATACTTCCTTAGCTTGCTTATAAGAATGTTATGGGAAACCATGTTAAAGGCCTTGCTAAAGTCAAGGTATATCACATCCACATCCACTGCTCTCCCCATATCCACAGAGTCAGTCGTCATGTCATAGACAGCAATGAGGTTGATCAGGCATGACTTGCCCTTAGTGAATCCATGCTGACTGTTCTTAATCACCTTCTTCTCCACCAGCTGCCTAGAAATGGCTTCCTTGAGGACTGGCTGCATGATTTTTCAAGGGACTGAGGTGAGGTTGCCCAGTCAGTTGCTGACTGTTCTTAATCACCTTCTTCTCCACCAGCTGCCTAGAAATGGCTTCCTTGAGGACTGGCTGCATGATTTTTCAAGGGACTGAGGTGAGGTTGCCCAGTCAGTCTATAGTTCCCCAGATCCCCCTTCTTCCCTTTCTTAAAGATGGGCACTATATTTGCCCCTTTCCAATTGTCCAGGACCTCTCCCAATTGCCATGAGTTTTCAAAGATAATAACTAGCAGCTAACTCCCTCGGTATCCTTGGGCACATCATGTCTGGCCCCACTGACTTGTATATGTCCAGCTTCTCTAAATAGTCCCTAACCTGTTCTTTCACTGCTGTTGGCTACTCATCTCCTCAAACTGTGCTGACAGGTTCAGTAGTCTGGGAGCTGGCCTTGCCTGTAAAGACTGAGGTTAAAAAAAGCATTGAGTACTTCAGTTTTTTCCACATCACCTGTCACTAGGTTGTCTCTCCTATTCAGTGCAGCATCCTGTAAAGTATTTTGACTTATTACACAGCTTAACAAATGAGAGGGGGAAAGCTGTTTATCTGCTAGCTGTACTTTCTTATTGTTCTCATTTTATGATCTTTTGAAGAGAATGTACTGTGGGCACATCTGCACATCACCATACGGTGACATTGCTACAACACCATGCTTTAGTACTTGCCTTTTGGAAGTACTAAAGCACAGCGCAGCACAGGCACACAGTGCACAGTTAGATTTCACCACTATGTCACCATAGCAGTGCACCACTATGGTGATGCACCTGGTAATCATGTGTAGACACACATGATTGCTACATCACCCTAGCACACTGTATGATGATGTAGCATGTTGCTGCATCACAGTAGGGTGACATGAAGATGTGTCCTGTTTGTAAATATTTGATGTTATAATTTGATGAAATTATTATAATTTTACCCTTTTCTTTTTTAGCAAAACTTCTACACCAACCTTATGGGACTCATTAGAAGAACCTGACATACTTGATACTAGTGAATTTGAATATTTATTCTCCAAAGACACTGCTCAGGAAAAGAGAAAACCATTATCAGAATCTTATGAAAAGAAAAGCAAGGCCAAAAAGGTATTATTTTTTAAATTACATTCTTTTAATTGCCTGTGTGTAAGTATCTGCATTTCTCTGTCTCTCTGTTTATCTCTTATAAAAACACTGGTTTATTTACTATTTGGTAAAACTATCATCAAACAATTACACTCAAACAAAAATTGTTACTAGATGAATTTGACTAGTTAGTTTGATAATCCATTTAGTAAACAAATTTACAACACAGATGTTGTTTTAGAAGTGAACTCCTACATTCCTGCCCCTAACATCTTTTTACGTATTTAAAATAAAAAAGTACAACAAAAGCACGTTGAAAATTGTAAAAAATATGAAGCATGAAATGAGAATGTTCAACATCAGACAACTGTGTAGAATAGCATACTAATACCATCTGGTAAGTGCAGGCTCAAACTAGAGATATGTTTTCATTTGAAAATATTTGCAAATATTTTTGTTGAAAATCTAATCTATTTCTTGCTGGACTTGATGACCTCTTTGAGGAAAATTAATCGCACTACCTGATTGTGCTCTGTAATTTATCTTGCTCTTCTGTTCCTCTCTCTCTCTCTCATCTTTGTGCTACTCTGCCATTTGGTCCTCTTACCTGGTTCTTTTCTTATGTCCCCTCTGGGGTGTGCTTCTCAGACTGGCCAATTCAGTCACTTTGGAAGCTCCTGGTCCCCTCCTGCTGGCAGTTTTTGTTGCTGACTGGAGGTTCCAGTTCTATTTGTTGCTCTGGTCCCTAAGGTAATCACCTTTTTCATTCTGGTTGTTATTAGTAGTAGCTCTTAATGAAGGCATCTAAGGTGCCTCATTTCCAGTTAATGCTAAGATAACCCAACCTTTTTTTTAAAAATAGAAGCCATCAGCAAGTGATATGTTAGTGGTTCCCTGTGATTGGCAGCAGGTTCTATAAATACAACTTTTAGGCCATGACTAGGTATGCTGGGTAGCCCTTTTCACTCTGGGTCATAGCAACACGTTTTGAAGCATTGTATTAGGATCTGAGATGTATATATCATTAGTTCAGCAGCTTTTTGAGCTGGACAAGGGATTTTACAAGAAACAATTATCAAACCTCTGTGCTTCCGTTGATTCTGAAGGACCCAATACAGTAGTGACAGCAATTCATACCAGGTCTATGTCAGGTCTGCTTCACTGATATGGGATTATATTGATGGACAGAGGTACTGTTTGTGTCAGTACTGTTAAACTATCCTCAATGAGCAAAACTGATAAGAACAGCTTTGCCAGCATAACTAAATCCAGCATAACAGTTTGTTAGAACTACTTTTGCTATGTTAGTGAGGAGGAATCCCACCTCTTCCCACTCTGAACTAGCATGACTATGAGGCCGGCGATCAGTGGGAGAGAAATAGCATGAGATTCTTTCATGTATGATTAGAGCTACCTTATTATCTTAAATCATTATCATTATTGAAAAAAAAGAAATAAAAACAATTAAATAATATTAGGAGTTTAGAGTAAAAACAGAGTATTACTTTGTGAAAAGACTGACATTGTTTTGGTGTCTTACTAGCCTCATAACAATACATGAATTTATATTAGATACGTAAGAACACTTGTGTTTACAAGTCTGAAACCACCAGAGGGCACCTGGGATATAATCTGTAGCCAGACATCCCACCTCTGACTATATTGTGCATAAATAGAAAAACAATCTCCTGGTCTTTTAAAGTATTCTTGATCATAAATTGCTATTCGCTTTAAAAAATAATTAACATTCTAAAATACAAAATTCCACTTAATAGAGAGTACTCATTTTATATGTAAAGAAGACCATGTTTTATAAGTAAATCCTATTAGTTTGGTAATGCACGTCTAATTCCGACTTTCTAAAGTTGTTTTTGCATGGTTGAAGATAAAAGGAAGTTCAGTCTACATGTCATTCATTTGATCTGTAACAAGGTATTTTAATGTCTAGTAGGACAACGTAGATTTTTAAAACATTTTTACACTAAAAATGCAAGATTTATGCAGAAATTATCTACAATTTTTCCTTTTTTGTATTTTCTAACCAAATCATGAGTGTAACATACCTATCTGTAAGAGGTGCTAGAATAAGGGAGAGAAAATTAGTAACATGTTCAGAGAAGTAAATACATATTCCTCTTCCCTTCCTTCATGTTCTTTTCAGCAAAACAAAACTTCTGTACTGATTTGTTATTGCTAATTCAGTTTTCTGTTACAGAAATTTTTCTTGTCTATCACTTCTCTTCTAATGGGAATACATATATACAGTTTGAATGAGAAGTAACGACTTTTTGTGGGAATTCTACATATTTCTTTCATACTATTTATGCCCTTATTCATATCAGTGTCTCAATTCTATTTCAGTTGATCTTCAGTATAGAATGTATTTCTAAAAATACAGGCTATAATTACTGTCATTAGTGAAATACAACTTAAAAATAGAGATGCCATGAAAAATTAATAGAAAACAAAAAACAACTCACCTGAGGAAACAGATAAGGGCTGTACATCAGGAGTCACAGACTGTAATTTGCCATTATTTACATTAGTAATAGTTATGGAGGATTTCTGGCTTTGATAGCCTAAATCCTGGAAATTGTGGCACTAACTATGAAATTCGCAAAATAGTCTTGATAGCTACTGCATTGACCATGCCAATAAATGTAATTTCATAGGCAAGAGCTGCTATTGTCTTTCAGATTAAGCTAATGACACTTGATTGACACCAGCATGGATATATTTACCTTACTTACTTGAATATAAGATGCCCCCCTCCCCAATAATTAGATCTTATACACAGAAAATGTATAAATTTATTATAATTTTCCAGGTATAGAATCTAATTCGTGGAGATGTCCCTTGATTTTGTTCCCCTCCCACTGCTACAACAGAGGAAATAAATCTGTGGTGGTCAGGTGGCCCTCTTGCCTTCTGTGCCCCAACATCTTCCACCTGCAAACCTTCTCCTTCCCGCCCCCCCTCCCTTATTGTCAGACCCTGCTCTCCTTGAGCAAATGGAAATGGGGGGCAAATGTAAAAACACTGACTTTGAAATAAACATGTAGACAAGTTACTATGGGTACCCACAGACTTAGTTCATCCAGATATTGATGCATATTACCTTTTTAGAAACTGCTATAAGTTTTATCACAGGTACTCCATAAACACATTTTAAGCAGCATTTTTATACCTACTTATATATAGGACAAATTATGCATGATATTAATCCAAAGACAAAAGGCTAATGATTTACCATATAGTTCATTGGACTGGGCCCAGCAGTGTCTACAGCATTTCAAGCTGTGGTAACCTCATAGATCAGCACTGCTCAGTATGTGTGTACTCCAGATACTCCTCACAAAGGAGCCACGTGCTAATTAGCATATCCCCCCCTTCATGACTGAAATCAGGTATTGTTGTCACAAGTTGTAGGATGCTCCAAAAATGTATATGCAGATGAGGCACAGGGCAACTTTGTGTGGCTGTACCTGATGGAGGGTGGGGCCACAATAATCATATGCTATAGGCTAAGAGGGGGGTGACAGAGATTCTGAGTGAACTGTTTGGGGCCCTGTTTCAATATCTTCCATGTTTCAGGGGTATTGGTTGTAGCCATATTGGTCTAAGAACTAAAATATTTGGAAAAATTCTTTGCAAGCTTTTACTTACCCTTCTTCAAGCAAAGGAAACATCTGCAGTTGTTTTGTGCTCTTCCTGGATGGAACAGCATAAACAAGGGAATGCTGGCAGACCTATCATATCCAACCATGGAACCCTAAATGAGGAAATATCAGGTTTCAGTGATCAATCCTAAAACCTCTTGCCACCCAAAGAGCAAGTTTTGTCAGAGTATGGTATCATGCTACATTCTCTATCATTTAATCACATTATTTGAATTTTTTTTTTCAACAAATTGTTAATCAACTTAAAATATTTTCAAGAGTTTGTTTGAGACTTTAAGTAAACAGTAGGTGCATCTGCATGTGAAATTAATGCAATGCAATAAATACTGGAGCAGTTTGACCCAGAGTAAGTTGCTCCAAGGCACAGCAACTGGATTCGGATTCAGCCCGATTTGGGGGACAATGATTCGATTCGCTGATTCGGATCACTATCCCAATTCGAGTCAGTCAAATCTGAATCTGAAGATTTGATTCTGATTCGGAGAATCAGCAATTCGGCCATAGACGCAGCTTTATTTTTTTTCTACATACCTTGAGGTACCAGGCGCGGCTTGTGAACGCTGAGGTGGTGGGATGAATCGAGCATCCCACAGGAGCACAGAGGACCGCCCCCACGTTCTTAGTGGCAGACCCAGAAGTGGACCTGAAAGTACTTCTGGTCCACTTCCAGATCTGCTGCCAAGCATACGGGGGATCCCCCCCAGCTCAGTGATCAGCCACAGGGGGACCCCAGGTGCCCCCCTGGCCCCAGAAGGCACCAGTCACTAAGCCAGGGGTGAGGGGGTCCACCACCGAGCGTGCAGAAGACTCCCTCCACCCCCCACGTTCCTGTGGGACACTCCATCCTCCCCACCATCTCAGCATTCACAAGCTGTGCTTGGTACCTTGAGGTATATAGAAAAAACATATAAAACTGTGTCTATGACTGAATCTTTCTGAATCAGTTCGGAGCAGGTCTCCTGATTCAATTCAGATTACAAGATTCAGCCGCCGAATTGGGCTGAATCTCCTCCAAATCAAATTGGCGACCAAAGCTTTGCACAGCCCTAGTAAACATCACTATATAACCATGCCATTGTTACTGCACAGTAACTCAAGGTATTGCATACACAATATCTAAGGTGCATTAATGAAAGTGTAGACATGCCCAGTGACACTTTATTGCTGAGCTAATTAGTCAGTTCCTCAGTAAAGCCCACATGCAGATGCACCCTGTCACACTAAAACACTACAGCTTTCTGTGTAGCTGTATATATTTCTGTAGAACAGTAGGGATCAACTTTTTTTGGCAGGCATGCCACAGATTAGTCTTGCATCCTCCCCAAGTACTACCCTGATCCC